TATTGGTGCCAATCTGATATTGGACCGATGTATTGGTGCACCTCTAGTTAAGCAGTGACCTTGAGACACTCAACTCTGTGGTATCAGTAAAGCACAAGATTTGGGGTATAGAAGACTATTAAGATTTGGGGCACGAAAAGTCAAGTTTACCTGTAAGATGCCAGGCAGTGATACCATTTACATACCAAGTAGTTGAGAGTTAGTTGTCAATTTTATACCATGTTCAGTGGTAACAGGTTTTAGAAGTCCTTTTCTACTGCTGCACGGATCTTTGGTAGAGGATTCTAATGTTTAAATAGCTGTCTGGCCTTTATAATACATGTGCACTGTCTCCCTCTCTCAACTCTTCTTGGTCTGGGCATGTGTCTCATTTGAATTTGGACACTTCACTTTGCAGCAAAATGTGAACCAGCGTATGTCATGCTGGGCCTTTGAGGGAGCACTTTGTAAGGTAGAAGATGGAGAGCTGGTGCTACATATGTTGCCCCATGATGGAAGGGGTTTCAATCTCTCAACATGCTGGGTTTTTTGTTGCTGATAAGCAAGGATCCTGGTTTTCTGTGTTTTAAAAAATGCGAATTCTCTGATTAAAAACCCCAGCATCTGCAGTTAAAATGAAACGCCACTATATGTATGTGTGTCTGTGTATCAGTTGAACAGGAGGTTTTACAGCGTGGATAAAAATCAACGATTTAATGGATTTTTTTTATTTAAATCAGATTTTTTTCTTTAACGTATTTTTCTATTTTTAAGATGCTTTAAAAAATAAACATATAAAGATAGTTTTAATTTATGTTAAAGATCAAAGATATCATCATAGAATAGGGCTTACAACTTCTAATTATATACTATTTGAGACAATGTATACATGTAAACTTTTTAGAAGTTTAGGTTACAACAGGCCATGGACTATATTAGCCCAATCTTATGCGGTTCCCAGAGGCTCCTCTATAGATTAGTAAAGATTAAAGAAAACCACTCTACCCAATGGGACTCAGTGCTCGGTCTAATAGATCCCATTAAGCATCTCTGTGATGCTTAGTTTCAGTTCTCAAACTGGATTTGTGCCTCCAGAGATCATAGGCAGACAAGGTTCTTTGGGTAGATGTGATATCTTTTATTAAACAAACTAGATAGTTGGAAAAATTGTTCTTTGCAAGCTTTCTGGCACAAACGTCCTTCTTCAGACACGGGGAGAGTTTACCGTCTCCAGAGATAACATCCTTGTTATCTATCATCTCCATGTACTGCTGTTAACAGACCTGATTACCCACCCATCAGCCCTCCTGTCTCTTTGAAAGTTTGTGTACACACAGTCAGGCCCTTACCTTTTTCTAAAAGTGGAAAGTTTCAAGAAGTTAAATGAATAAAGATATTAAACAAGAGTGCACTTTTTGTAGAAAACTTTCTGTAGAAAATCATGATTTAAATCTATTTGATTTAAATCAAATCTACCCTAAGATTTCATTGTTATCATTTTAAAGAAATTTGGAAGCCTACCAGTGCCTCAATCACTATCTATAATAATAATAGGCTTATTCTGTCTAGAGCACTCTGGTTGTCTCAGCAGCCAATCACAGTGCTTAACGAAATAACAAATCAAAGTGCTCCGGACAGCCAAATAAGCACATTGTTATTATAGATCTTAAGGCATTTCAAACAGATATGCAGGCAAGTCAGAGCTAGCATGAAGTACCAGGGCCCCACATCGCAGAGCAGGCAGGCTCTGCCAAAGGTGGGGGGGAATGGGTGAGGGGTCCTATCCTTTTCCTTTTTTCCAGAGCCTGCCTGCCTCTCCTGTGGCCAGGGGGACGAGCTGCCCTGAGCTGCGGGGGGGGGGCCCAGTGTTTCCCTCTGTGGTGTCAGCACCCCTAGGACTGCCTGGGCAGGGTGCCAGCAGGTGGGTGCTGCCTAGGGGACACTGCTGCCATGGAGGGAAGCACCACGATCCCCCACAGCTCAGGGGCTGTGTGGCCTGCCAACAGCTTGCTTCCCAGCTGAGAGAGAGAAAAACAAAATCAAGCCCCTTGCCACTTTTTTTTTTCCTTTTGTCAGAGCCTGCCTACGTGAGCTGCCACTGGGTCACGCAACCTCTGAGCTGCGGGGGGCCTGGTGTTTCCCTCTGCAGCAGCAGCGCCCCTCGGGGCTGCCCTGGTGGGGTGCTAGTTGCATGGGTGCAGCCCTAGCTTGCAGACAACACCTGCCAGGTCCAACGGTGCACAGGGCACTGGAAGCCCGGGCATGCTCAGGGAAGCTCGGCCTTGGCAGGCTTCCAGCGCCCCATGGACCATCCCCGCTGCCTTCCTGCTATCTGGGACTGCCTGGGAATGGGCTGGCTGCCCCAGGAGGGTGGCTGGGTGTGCTGGCAGCTGGAGAAGGTGACAGGGACGATGCATGGGGCACTGGAAGCCCACCAAGCCTGAGCTTCCCTCAGCACGCCCAGGCTTCCAGCATCCTGTGCACTGTCCCTGCCACCTTCTCAGGATATGGCCCTTTTACACGTAAAGAATATCACTGGAATTTGTTAAGTAGCACACCTAAAATACATGGGATGTGTTTTAGTTTGCGATGTAAAAAAGTAATGTAAATTGAAATACACCACCAAATGTGTACACTGTTATGAAATGTAATCGTAACATGCTGCCAAACGTGTATACTGTTACACAAGTAAATCGTTAAAAAGGGCCATTAAACCACTAAAACGGGCAATTTCCTCATGTGTACAAGGGTCATTTTATTCTATGACTATAAACAAGTCACAAGGTCAGACTCTTGACAAAATAAGTAGTTATATTCCTAAACCTGTGTTTACACATGGACAGCTTTATGTAGCCTTTTTGAGGACAAGATGTTTTGATTCAATTAAAGTATTTGGTCAAAGGATAAGTAAAAGTCCTGTATTTACAGAAATACTTTTGCAGTAAAAATTTAATTGCAGATGTTTTGTGGGTTTCAGCTAGTAATAAAATACATTCTAAATACCTATAAATTTTGGAGTTTGATTTTTGTTTTTTATCATGGAAAATCAGAGCTCCCCCTGCCCCCTTTGCTCATGAGGACACAGGTCCAGCTGTGGCTCTCTCTCCCCGCTGCTTTGTGGCGCTGAGCAGCCCAGATATGCTGGAACCCTGTCCATGCCATTGCCCCCCCCCCCCACTCAGCCCTGTCGGAGGGGGCCCCCAGCTGTGAGGTCTGTGGGGCAAGGGACCTGGGTCTACAACCCCCTGCCCTTACCAGCAGCACCTGAGCCCTGGCTGTTATCTGTGGGAGGCAGTGGCTCCTACAGTGGAGCAGATTGTAGAGCCTGGCACCCGCTCTCGCATGGGCAGCACCGCTGGAATAGAGCCCTTTGGTGGAGTGGGAGCAGGGAGGGGGCTGCCGACTGTGGGCTCAGGGTCCCCACCCTGCTGCCCTCCCTCTGGGGCCTCCACAGCCCAGCAGGTGGGACCTGGTGCAGCAGGGCAGAGCAGGGCCAGCTGGGGAAGCTCAGTACCCCTGCCATGAGCCAAGTATCACTATGGCGAGGTGCTCCCTGCCCACTTGGCAGCAGTAAGGGTGGCAGTGTGGAGTTGTGCCTTTCACTGCAGCTGGGCGGGCAGGAGGCATCTTGCCACGGCGGCACTAGGCTCGTGGCAACACTGAATTTCCCCACCTGGCCCAGCTCTTCACTGCCGCATCAAGTCCTGCTTGCTGGGCCATGGAGGCCCTGGGGATAAGGCAGCAGGGTGAGGAGCCCAAGCCCACGGCAGGCAGCCTGCCCCCATCCCATGTACAAATCTGGGGGGCATGTGCTCCCCATGTCCCCCCAGGATTGCATACAGCAGCAGGGAACCAGCCTTCCCTCGCTCCCCAGATGAGCTGCCCACAGCCCTGTTCCACTTCCTGCCAGGGCCCTGTGGCTGCCCTAGGCACCAAGCCCCACACACCCTGGGTAGCAGCCCTAACCCTGCCCAACTACCCCCTCTCAGTATGGGGCCTCCAATCCGCGCCCCCCCCCCCCCCCCCTCTGCCCCCCCCCCCCCCCCAACTTACTTGTGGGAGCTGCTCTTTAGACTGCCTGGCAGCCATGTGCTTTTGTGAGCGCACATGATGCCCCCTGCCTGACTACCCTCCTCCGGCTCCCCCCCAGCCCCTTGCAGGGTGGAACTCTGCCAGTCTGCTAGACGAAACCACCCTTAACCTGCATTTTTCTCCTTAAAGAGAAAATCCGTGTTTTCTCCTTAAAATGAGAAAATCTGTGTTTTACTGCATTTTTCTATTGCAAACGGAAAACCCATATCCCTGCTGATAAATGTTTTATGCTCGGCCATTGGGATGGTTAGATGCCTTTGCACTTTCACCATTTGTTTTTAATATTTGTTTAATAAAGCTTTAAAAATTCAAAAAAAAGTTAGGCTTGGTCTCTCGCTCTTAGTTTAAAATCTGTCATGAATCAGTGAGAATACTTAAAGCTAGGAGATTTATTCACATTCTCTTATCTGAGAGGATAAATCCATGTAATATTTTTCTCATGGGGAAATTTTAGTTCAAAAGGTAGCTTTTGAGAAAGTTGCAGATGCCTGGATATGATATTTAAACTGTAACTTGCACACCCAGTCTAAAAATGAGGATCTTCTATTTCATTTATGTAGAAGCAGCCAGGCCTGTGAAAGGAGTACAAATCTCTCTTTGTAGTCATTGCATTGATATTCCTTGCTGGTTTCTAGCTTGAGCCAGACTGAAAAGAAATATGTGCATTGTGTTATGCCTGATCGCAGATTGACTAGCATAGTCTGAAAAGAGGCTATGGATGATGATACCAATATCAGCCTAATTGCTCTCCCTACATCAGCAGCATATATAAAGCATCCTGGGAATTGCTCGCCCTACTCTCATAGGAGCTGGTCACATGAGTCTGAATTTTCAGTTCAGTTCATTAGTCAGCCATTTTGGTCAACACCCTGCTTACTGCGCACAACCAATCCTATTAACACTCGGTATTCTGGCTCATCTGGGGGAGAAAGGCTGGCAGTTTGATTCAGCACTTCTGGAGATCTATTTGTCTGTTTTGGGGTGGTGGGTTTTTTTTCTTCTCATTTTGATTTGGAAACCTACAAGGGAAGCTTTCCTTTTCTTTTTTTTTTCTTTTTTTTTTCTTCTTGTTTTTGATGCAGAGGGCAAGATTTCTCTGGATGCTTAGGATTCATTGCCTCTAGCACAGCTGAAGAAAGAGAGTTGGCAGAGAAAGGAGGAGGAGACAGACAAGAAGAGGAGCATCATTTTTTGCCTTGCTCTGTGTGTGTGTGTGTGTGTGTGTGTGTATACATATATGAAAAGACCAGGGCAGTTTGTGTGATCCTATGCAAATCTGCTCTTGAACAGCGAGGTATTTCTTTATATTTTTTCCATTTGGAAAGCTTTTCTTTCTAGTCCTTTTTTTGTTGTTGTTGTACCAGCTGAGTCATCATGTCTGCTCTGACGCCTCAAAGTGATATGCCAACCCCCACCACAGACAAGATCACGCAGGCTGCCATGGAGACCATCTATCTTTGCAAATTCCGAGTGTCTATGGATGGAGAATGGCTCTGCCTGCGCGAGCTGGATGACATCTCACTTACGCCTGACCCTGAACCTACCCATGAAGGTATGGTCAAATTCTCTCGTAGGGGAGCCCTGCAGCCATCTCATTGTCACAAGCATGGAATGTGGGAGACGGGTGGTCTTCACTATACAGGTGCTTTCATAATATTGTGAAAAACACGACCAGAATTGTATCTCTCAGCCAAACAATATATAACTCTGAAAACAGTCTAAAGATAATTGCATCTTTTTCCAGCATCAGAGATGTGTTGTATTTTATTTTTTTTAATCGATAAACCTGAAGGTGCATCCTAAGAGATGACAATACAAAACCTCATAGGGAAGTAAATAACCTGAATATTTTTACCGGTGCATTTTATTTTTACATCCCTCTTTAAACAGTTATTAAGACTCTTTCAGCTGTTTTGTAAATATGCCGTGTTAATTCCATATTTTTGTGCTCCATTTTTTTTTTTTTTTTGTATGAGAATAAAATTTTGGCAGATCACAAGGGCTTGTGCAGTCATGTCTGGTATCAGGTGATAATGTTACTAGGACTCCTGCAGTCAGTTGTTTACAATGGCTTTGAAGCCTGGGGCCTGGAGCATAGCTATGTAAAATATTTCTTTCCTTTTCTGGGAGTACTACTGATTAGTAATGTGACTGACAGTAGGAGTTTAATATCCAGGTGAAGTGCAGTGAGAATGAAATAGAAAGAACCAATGTAAAGCTTTACAATGCATAAAATCCCTATCCTGTCCTGTCCTGCAAAAATAATGGTAAACAGTGGGTTGTTGCATTTCACACAGCATGCTTCTGACCCAATAGTTACTTTAATATCAAGTGCTGCAAGCTGCTGAACTCTCCTTGAAATGACCAATATCAATTGGAGCTGAGGACCGTTTTCAGCATTAGGTTCTTATTCAGTAACTATTGTGATGTAACTCCACAAACTAGTTATATTGAGTCATTTGGCACTGTCCTTGTCAAATTAGTAACATCTTATTTTGATATTTTGCTAGATGGGACTTTTGTATGGAATTGGTCTTGAAAATAAGATTGGTTGCAGGGACAGCAAGCAGTCCATTAGCTCAGATTCTCTTGCAAAGGCAAAGTAATGAAGAATGTAAAGGGTTTCAAAATAAATCCATCTTAAGTGTGTCCCATTGTGCTTGGGTGGATACTGCAGTGCACACTTTCAGACTCTGGTGTCCAAACTAATAGGCATAATGGAAGGTATGAGGATGAAATGGCAGATATGGCCTTGAATTTTCTTGCTGTGGCATCTGTGTGTTATGTTACTCATATTACTTCCTAGTTTTAGAATTTGCTCATTTTTGTCTTATGGCCTGTTCTTTGTTGAAAGTACATTCTTTGAGTAATGTGAAAAGAGTGGATTTTGAGAAAAATCTCTATCTTCTGGGACTTACATGATGCACATGCCCTTTTTTAGGAAATCTCTAGTACTTCTAATATTAGAGATGGAAAAATGGATGCACTGTTGTTGTTAGAGTTTTGGAAAACCCCTTTGATCAGATATTGATTCTGCATTCATGGATTGTTTAGGTGCAGGTTCCATTCTATATGATCCTCCAAACTTAATCTGAAAGCTGGACTACCATTAATTTAGTTTGGGCCCAGCTCTGCTTAGCCCCTTCTATAAAGATGCTGAAAACATGTCTATCTTCTGTAATCTGATCAGGTACTAATTCAAATCATATGCAGATCTAAAAAAAAGAACACCCAAAGCACACAAAACAAACCCTTTCTACCCAAATAAATGCTTCTATACATAATAGCTTTTATTTTCAAAACTGTAGCTAAAGATGCTTTTAAAAAAAAAAAAATACTAGATTCTGTTAGAAAATACCGACCTTTCTGCAGACACATTTATGTCTAGAATTTTTTTTCCAGATATGACTTGAATAACATATAAAACTAACCTGACCTGTTATATAGATGTCAGTAGCCCTACAGTTTAGGAAGGTCATTTGGGAGGGAGGGAGGCAGATGCTGCCTGTTGGGCCCCAGATTGTTTTTATCAAAGATGATCACTGTCTTTCCCCCAAAGGCTGACAGTTTTCCTTACAAAATGAGGCTCACACAAGCTTCTTTATGATTTTTATTTTTATTGTAGTCATAGTATTAGTAACAATAGTAATAATAATAATTTGAAATATAATTAAGCTATAAATAGTTTAAAAGTAGAAACCTGCAGCCTGTGGGGTTTTGTGCATCTCGGTTTCTGTTCTTAAACCCTTTCTGTTCCTCAAGGGATTCTTCTTGCAGCTTCTTCCAATTCTGTGAGCAGTGAGCTGTTGTGTAGTATAGTGACACCTAGATTACCTATGATGCCTGCCACAAATAAAGGTAGGTAAGAAACTTCACCCTGCTCCAAAAACTTCAGTGGTGGTGCATCAGGATGAGCTTCTGTCCTGGCATTAGTAGTTTCCATAGTGGCTGTTTTCTCCCCTACAATGACTGGTTCTTCTGGTGTTACAGATGAGCAGCCCAAAAGGGAAATGAGAACAAGAAGCAGGAAGGAGCAGTGTTCTTGCTTGTAAAAGAAAGAAACAATACTAGCTCTTCAATGAGAGGAAAGAAAGGCAGTAGACAGGGAGAACAAAAGAGAGATGGAGGAGGGCAGGAGAATGATGGCAACAGCACAGGGAACTCAGTGAAGAGAGCTTTGAGTTTGGAGAATTTTGATTTATTATTTGTGTATATTATTTACTATATTTTATTGTCTTTCTATAACTTTCTGGGAAGTCTGCACTACTTGACTGTGTTGGAATCATTAATGGTTTCTAGCCTCTCCTATGTCTGGTTCCCAATATTTTCAACTGATTCCTTGGTTTTATAGCCTGTCTCTGACAGGCTATAATGTGATTTATACTTTTGCAAATGTTGCTACTTCGCTATTCTGAACCTGGGAGCTGAGAAATCAAGGATCCTGGTAACCAGTGGGTTTCATAAATCCTACAGAGACAGAAATGTAGTTTAAAAAAAAATGTCTAAAGCAGCAGCTTGTGTTTAGTGGTTTATGTAATTGTAGCTATTTTGTTGTTTATTGTAGAAGTTTTATTAGAAAAATGTGTTTTTTAAACACAAAAAAGGCAACTGAAGGAAAGAATTCTCCATTACTCTGAATCTGTATGTTTGCCAAAACATTTCATATTACTGTATTTACTCAAATACAAGGTGAGGTCCCCCCCCAGGTAAGGTTCAGACACTCTACTTAATCCTTCAAGTGACCACTATAATTTACTTGACAGACCAAAACACGTTTTACCAGTTAATCTATTTTAGTCCCGTTACAAAGTTTGCACCACGCACCCGTGTGCCTGCACACCCATCGCCATTCTAGTGCTTTCGCTTGTCATCATCACATTTGTCCTCATTGTCGTCACTGTCCTTGCTCTCTTCAGAGGGCTTGCCTCTAAAAAGTCTATGCCTGTCCCTTTTCCACCATATGAGGTCCACCATCTCCATCCCATTGTGCTACATGCAGGCCCACAAGTCATCCTGCCATAGCTGGTCACATGTGCGGCTCTGCGGGCTGCTGACGGGCCGCACACCTGGCTAATTGTGTGCCATCTGTCAGCAGCCTGCAGAGCCAGACATGTGACCGGCCCGTGAGGCCCCGAGCGGGTGCCCGGCCGTGGGACAGTGGGGCGCAGCGGTGGCCGCTGCGTGTGAGCCCCCCCTGCCCCAGGTCAGTCCACAGAGGGATGCTGCTGCCCTCCCCACCCCCCTTCTCCTGGGAGCTCTCACAGAAACACACTCCTGCTCCCCCCCCTCCACCCCCATTCAGACCCTTTGCGCTTCGCTGCCTCCTGGCAGCCAATCAGGTGAGCAAGCTGGGGTGGGGGGAGGGGAGGCGCTGCGATGTACTGCATGGGGCTGACTGCACCCGGCACGCCCCTCCTCCACTGAGTAAGAGGCGATGTGTGGGAATGTGCCGTGGGAGATGCCGTCATCGCCACCCCCCAGGGCATACTCTGTCCCCACCCACCTGCGTGTATCCCCTATGACCTTTCCAAGTACCCTAAGGGGTACGCGTACCCCCGGTTGACAATCCCTGATATATGGAATCTGATTATTGGGTGATCATCTTATAAACAGGGCTATCTTGTGATGCTCCACGAGCTTTCATCAACACAGCTCTCAGAGCTGCATTAATTAAAGCGCCCCTCGCCCTGTCTCCTGGATTACGTCTATAAATGTCCACCGGTGCTGGAATGGAGAATGTATGAGCAGTTGCAACCTTTGCAGCTATTAATCCTGCATTCCCCAAGTGGAGGGTGAGATTGAGCACAGTAGGTGTTCAATATTTATGAGGAGAAGCCTTCTGTCATCTCTGTACTCAGGAGCCTCTGATTATATTAGAATTCCCTTAAGTAACCTGATTTTGTTATTTTAGATGGAGGAGCAAGAAAGGAGTTAATATTTCAGGAACGTAAGGATGTATCAGTAAAACAGGAGTGCAAGGCAAACCATTGCTCAGGCATTGATATTTAAAAGAAATAAACACCCTGTCTGCAGCAGCTGGTTTTTTTTTTAATAGAAAAAATGGCTGTATATTCTTGTTCTCACTTTTTCCAGATGGAAAAACAGTCTTTTCGGATCTGATTCTGATCTCTGTTATGCTAGTATAAATTTGGAATAACTCCCTTTACTTCAGTAGCAATTATCTGGGGTTCGATGGGGTAATTAAGAATAGAATCTGTCCTTTTTGACTTGTAGAAAAGGAGCATAATCAAGCTTCCGGGTGGAGTCAAAAACTTTCAGCCTCTAGCAGTAGTGTTTCATAAACATTGTACGTACCGTATTTACCCCAGTCCAAGATGATTTTGAATTTTGGACAACCCCCCAATAATTAGATTCTCTAATAGAAAATTATGAATTTGTTGATAATTTTCCATATGTCAAATCTAATTATTGGGGAGTCATTTTGAATTTGTCCCTCCCACCGCTGAGGCAGTTTCCAGACCCTTGCCACTTGCCCTCCCTCCCCCCATAGCATTTATTTTAGGTTTTGGCTCCGGCTCCAGCTCTGTCCTCAGCTCAGCCACTGACAGCTCTGGCTCTATGCCCAGATCATGGTCAGAACTGGAGCTGGAGAAGCTACTCTGCTACTGCAGTCTCCCCGATGTTCCTCCCTGCTGTTGCAAGCTGGAGATTTTGGCGCTGCTGGCTGAGCCAGGGTGGTGCAGGTGGCAGGGAACAGTGTGTGTGCGTGGCAGTGGGGAGCGTGGGAGAGCTGTGGGAAACCACTGTGTGTGTGGTCGGGGGGGTCAAGTGTAAGGGGAAAGAGGGGTGCAGGTGTGAGTGAGCAAGTGGCAGGTGTGGCAAGTACCAGGGAGGAGATGGGCAGAGCTGGAAACCAAGTAGCAGCTTACCGCTATATCAGGGGAATACATCAAGGGCTTGGTGAACAACTGTTCACCCGGGCACCCTTAAGGAAAACCAGGAGTAATGGCCACAAACTCCTGGAAGACCATTTCACGATTAACACTAGGAAAAACTTCTTCACAGTTAGGGTGTCCAGACTTGGAATGAATTCCCTCCAGAGTTGGTGCAATCACCTACTCTGGAAATCTTCAAGAGGAGATTGGATGGTCACCTCGCTGGGGTCACCTGACCCCAGCTCTCTTTCCTGCCTGGTGCAGGGGGGCTGGACTCGATGATCTTGCGAGGTCGCTTCGAGCCCCTTCCAATCTATGAAAAAGAGTTGACTACCTGAACCTCAGCAGCTGCTCATCCTGCCCTACCCATACTCAACTCCAAGATGAGGCTTTCTTTTCTCATGTTGCATGTTAAATTCTAGCAAACACAGTAACTTAGGCTGCTGACAGATGTTACACTTAAGATACAATTAACCTTTTTTATATCTCAACATAAACAGTAACCCAGCCACACATTCAGGGAATTGGTGGTGCAACAAATAGGGAAACCAGCCACAAAAATATTCCACAAACTGTGTAACACTTTTGGCAGGTTTTCCTTGAGCTTTAAAATTGAACATGTGGCAGGGTAGCCCCTCTATGCAGCCTTTTGCCAGCTACATGGTGAGGCTTGGTTGACAGCTCCTCCCCCCACCCCCGGCAAGTTGACAGCTCTGGGCTGCACAGCAGTGCATGGTGCTGCACCCCTTTGCTTTCAGGATGCCGAAAGGAGGGGAGCCCATTTGCTGGGCTGAGTCTTGAGGAGTTGCAGGGCATGGTGCTTACCTTGCTCCTGAGCCTCCCTGGGAGTTGAGGCAAAGCAAGCGCTATGCCAGGTCAGGGCTCCCCACGGGGCTCCCCACGACTGAGCAGATTGATTTCCTTACCTTGCAGCTAGATATTTTGCATAAGTCGAAATGAGATAATAAATTTCACTTTATCTTGTAAAAAAAAAACAAACAAACAAAAAAAAACTTCAGAATTTTGCATAGTTCATGATCATGCTGGACAGTTAGTGAACTATTTCTCCCCTCTTTTCTCCTTTTACATAAGATGATAGAAGAGAAAAAGAAAGTAAGTTATAATACTGAATTTCTAATGGTTTTCTTAAACCTTGTAATCTTCCAGCTACTGTGTGAATTCTGATTTAGAGATGAGCTCTCTTAGTTCTTCTTTTTGAATTTGTAAGCAGTGTTAGCCAGTTTGTTTATACTGATTTATTCTCTCCCTTCTTAGATCTAATATACTTTTGTTATCTTTCCTTTTTCCCCCTTTTTGGCTGTAGAAGTCAGACCTAACTTTTCTTCTTTCATCTTTTGACAGCAGTTGCAGCTTGTTTTACCTGCCCATCACAGCTTTAGTAGAGTTGGCTAAAATTCCCAAGAACCCTTATGTTTCATTTTTAAAAGTGACTTGCATAATGTAATGGTTCTTAAGAGCCAAAGGCCTAAAGCATTGAATGTTGTGCTGGTTTTTAACTATTCTGGTTAAGGTGCTGATTTTTTTTTTTTAATTTTTTTTTATTGAAAAAGTTAAATAGCTACAAGTTTCATCCATACTGTGAATGAAGTTACACCACTATTATGATGCCATTTATTGCTATTAGTTGATTTTCCCCCTAAATTTATTAGGATAAACAATGGAACTGCTTCTATGCTGGAGGCAATTGTACTTCAAGTATATATGAGCTTGTGTGTATATGTAGACAAACTTTAAAATCACATTTAAAAAAATTAGGTTTTAAGCTTCTTTCATCCAGATAGTTAAAAGAAAAAATACAAGTAGTTACCTGACTCCTAGGAAACAAATGGGAAGTTGCATTAAGCACTCTTGTAAATCATACTAGATATCTATCTGTACCTCAGGTGTATAAATAATTCTGTAAATTTGGCCCTTAGGTGCTTTTAAAAATATTACCTGTTC